ACCCCTGGTATATACTATGTATGTATACTATGTGTAGTAGTGTGCTCTGTATTACAATTTTCTGTGAATATTGTTTAGATATTTAAAATATGTATTTATAGCTTAACAAGAGAAATGATTTGTATTAGAGTAAAAGTTGATCTTTTGTTAAGAAACGCTTGTGCTCTCTTCTACCAATTCAGTACTATTCAAAATAACCCAAACAACATGAAAAGACTTCTGCTGGCACCGGGAGTCAACTCAGTATAAATGCCCAGTAGTGCCCTGCTGTGGCATTGGCACGTGGAGCTGAGGTGGCGGGGCTGGAGGTCACAGTGTGAGCTGGCAGAAGCTGGCAGCCCAGGCACCCTGACGCCATGTCTCACACCACCGCTGGGAAAGTGCTGACAGACAGACAGCAGGGATGTGAAGGAGGAGGAGTAGGAGGAGGAGAAAGAGCAAGAGAGACAGAGACGGGAGAGAAAGGCAGGGTGCAACTGCTATGAAACATCTGGTACGCGCAGGTTTACTACCCTCATCTGCTCAAGACAATAGCCCAAACATACAGCCTGCTCCAACCTGCGCAGGTGGCCCCCATAGCAAAATTCAAATACTACCAGACAGTATGTAATATTCAACAACCAGAGGGAAGAAAGGCATGCACATGAGTATTATGCTGAAAAAATTAAGGAATTAAAAAGAGTTTATAAAAACAGACTTCCTTTCAGACCCATCAAGTCTAAATCAGGATTCTTGTTGGTTTATTGTGAGCAGCAGAAGCACAATTGTCAGGCTTCCACAGTTGAATTCAAAGGTAACATGCAAGTGGGAACCCTGCAAGTGGAGGGGGTAATGAATAAATACAGAAACAGATACATGAATAAGTCAGAGTAGCCCAGCTTCATTCCTCCTGGTTGTGCGCCCGCTGTACACGCTGACATGAGGTCGATAAAGCAGCCAAGGGAGGGAAGACAATGGAAACAGAATATACAGCAAGTCTGCCATGCTACATTTCCTTGAGAAAACTGCTGGTTTTATTTACTCTTGATTTCTCATCTGTAATGCAAATCTCTCCTCACTTGGAGAGAGATTTTTGTTTTTAGTTTTAAGGAAAAAATTGGACTAAATAAAATTTATATTTGCAGTTTGAGTGGTAATTCTCAAGAGAGGACACTCTCATTCTGTGTATTAATTTCACCTGATTGGCACTGATATAACACCACAATCACTTTGATCTTTACACGTGGAAAAGCTGAACATATCTCAAGCCACAGCTGAGCCTAACAGCTGAAACACTGCTGACCGTCTTTCTGTCCATCCTGTGTTATGACAGCAAGTTAACAGACACAACAAACACTCTTCTGTGTGGAAACAGTGAATGCCTTGCTGCTAGCCAACGCCCAATCAACTACTAAATTGCTGCGACTATGTCGCCATGGCAAAGGCATGTAAACAAGACCATTTTTTTTCTTCCTTTTTTAAGGCGGAAAGCTCCTCTAAAAAGCTATAAAACCTCCAAGCTCATTAATTAGTGCTTTAGGGGAGAGCCATTTCCAGTAATTTCACACTGTCTCTGACCCCTTACTGGCATAAGGCAATGATACGGTTGTTCAATGAAGCCAGAGGACAAAATGTCAATTGCAACAGACATACAGTAGCTAACTCAGCATCAGCGTCTTTCTCCATTGGCCAGATTAAGTAAAGCTCTCCTGTTAACAAATGAGCCAATGATGCTTCCCAAAAAGGGGCCACAAAGTTATGTGAGGATTTTTTTAATCTTCATAAACGTAAGCATCTGCCTGCTGCTTATTTTCATACCAGCCTGTTATCACCCACAGCCTGTAACAAACAGTAAGAAAGATACTTCAAACTCATGCCAGCTCTTCTACATTTTGACTTAAAATAAAATTTTGCCTCCATGACGAGGAGGATATTAGCATGCTCTAATGTGACCAGACAGGAAAAGATGACCCTTTTATGAAGTATGCTTGCTGATTTTGTTACACACCTCTCATTATTTTAGCGTCTCTTTTCTATAAGGGAGAATTTGCATATACAATTAATTGCCGTGGATGACTGAGAAACTGTTAAAGCGTCTTTTGTGTTTGTTTTGGCAAAGGCTAATAACGGGTATGAAGAAGTTTGTCTTCCAGAGGTTGCAGGTTGGAAGGCAGACGTCAGCAGGTGTAACTTACAAAATCCACGGTGGCTGCCAAGTAATTATCCAGACTCTCAGTCAGCACTTTTCAATCAACCCTTGTTATCTATAGCCAAGATAAACAAACGCTAAGATAGGCTTTGTTTTGCCCTCGAGTAAGACGCTAAAATCTTAAAATTTCCCTGCCATTAAAAAAAGAAATTATGAAAAATGACTCCATAGGTTGATGGTGTAAAAAGCTTATTTAACCGGAGCTACATTACAACACGACGGCGGCAGTAGTAATTATGACGGGAGCAGACGAGGAAGTGAGGTGGCGTAATTACAGAGCCATAAAGCCTGCATAGGTAGGATGCTGCAGAGGATGAATAATCACTGAGCTGACCTCCATTTGCACTCCTTTTTCCAACCAAAAAGTCATAATCTTTTCCCCCCCAAGATGAAATTCATCAATCAGTGTGTAAATAATCCTAACAATCTGTAGCGCAGACACCACAATAAGAGCTTTGGATACATTTTGATATCCAGGAAACGTCCATATGCGTTCTATTGCGATAACGATTATTGGGTTAGTTCTGTGGTTTGGCTGCACTTCAGTCTGTAGTTGGTCTATGCTTATTCAGCAGGACGAATGCAGATCTATAGAGTGCCAAGAAAACCAATTGTCTGTTAAGACAGAGACTGCTGCCATTAATCAGATTAAGGTGGAGTGTCTGATAATGAATTCTGGAAATGAGAAGGTCAGAAACTTTCTGGCATTGGTATGCAAAATCATTTTAGTGAAAAATGTGACACTTTATACAAGTTCCATGCAACTCTGCAGTGAAAAACTTGAATTGAGTCAAAAAAAAAAAAAAAAAAAAAAAAAAAAAAAAAGGGGGAGAATCTCCTAACGTAATCCTTCTGGAAGTTAATTTCTGGATGAAGCATTACGCAAGGATCAAACGGTTAAATACCACATGGCACATCTGATGTGCTCTTTTAGATTAAAGTACAGTTACAGTAGGCAAGTAGCTGCAACCGAGTGGGTGTGACGGTGCTGCCGCCAGCTCTGATGATGTGAGGATGAGACAGCACAGATACACTCACATGTATACAGAGGCCCTGTATTTTTCACATCCATCGGACAAATCCAATTTGTTAAGACCCTTCTACGACTCACTTACGAAGCTGCGGTCAATGGAAATCACATTTCCATGATTGGACATCCCATTATCCTGTTCGTCCAGACCCACATTGGGGGATAAAGCAAGGCTGAGACGGATACCCACGACAGACCGGAGCTGCGGCTCCAGCGAGTCCGTCGCCTTTCAAAGGGTAAAAGCCTGACATATTAGTCATAAGTGTTCTTTAAATTCATTATCATCTTAACACGCCAGCGGCACAAGTGTCAGGGGGAGGGGAAGCCCTCTTAAATGAGGTTAGTGGATCCATTTAAAGCTTCACAGTTGCTGCGCTGTCCGCCGTGTCACGCGTAAATCTCACGACATGAAAAACATCCCTTTCTTTAATGAGGTTGCACAAGCTCCTATAATGCAGCTGGGGACTTTCTGGGTTTAATCAATAAACAGGCTCTGCCTTAAATCAATAATCTGTCTGATTTCTAAATATCACAATCCGTTTACGCACGTACTGAGCAATCACAAAATTCCACGGTGGCAATTAAAACAAAAAACAAACACACACACGAGAAAAATTATAATTCCATCTCAGTTTAGTTTTTGTTCCTAACCCCATCGACTATACGCCACCAGTGGCGGTGTGTGACATCATTGTAGCCTTGCACGTCTTTGTTTGCATGTATGAAAATGGAGACGTGATTATTCACTTGTATCCAGAGCAGTTCCCACTTTATAACAAACCAAAAATCCTGCACAGAAATCATCTTCATTTTGAAAATAACTCTTTAATATTTTTGTTAATTTAACACATAAACTCGCTCAATGTAAAGAATAAACACCCCCAATCATTATGAAAGCATTTGAGATGTATGCCTAAAACATATTATTATGATGTGATACCAGCTACTTCTTAAAAATAAAAATGGCACAACTCAAAAAACTCCTGCTTTCCTTCCAGATCTGACAAAAATAAAACACTAGTCATGTTTCTACCACTGCCAAAGTGTCTTTGAGGCAGCATATGCTACTTCTTTCTTTAATCTAACTCGAGTTGTTCAAAAACACTTCATAAGCGTTTTGAAACAATCTTTAGATCAGCTGAACACCATAAAGACGGCAAATTTATCTTTTCTATTATGAGCGAGCTGCCCCCTGCTACAGTATAGGATGAAACAGGCAGCAGTGACTCAGGTGATTCAGTCATTCGATATCAACTCAAGACAGACACACCGAGACTTGGCAGGAGCAGGATAACGCAAACTAACAAACCAATTAACGCCGTGAAAGCTCAACAGCTTCCATTAGACATCCCAAAGCAAAAACCATGCATATATATTTTTGAAATGCGGCTCTTTGTTTGTCTAAAAGTGAGCCTTTAACGGCAAAATTATCCTGAAGCCACTTCTGATAAAAGTACTAAACACGCCTGAGGTGCTATTAGTTTATTAAAGCTACATCCATCTGCCATTAAACACAATCTGAGAGGCAAAAACAAAAACAAAACAAAGACTAGTTTAATGTTTTTCTTCATGAGGTGACTAAAGTACTTTTTTTTGAAAACACAATAAAAGCCTGAGTAAAAAAGTAAAAAAGTAAAAATAAAAATTCTGGGTAATTACCTGTTAATTTTGTAAAAGAGCATAACAACCGACTGCATGCAAGTCGTAGCTACAAGTCAGAGGTGACTGACCTTTTTCTCATGATACTGTAATGCAGCTCATCCTCCTGTTTGATGTGAGCATGATCCCCACTGGCCCGGTCACTGCCTTCACTGTCGTCACTGCTGAAAATGGAGGCCAGCTCCTTCTTGGGCACCCGGTTAGGTGGCAGGGGGATGGTGCGCTTCTCTGCCAAGCGCCCGCGGTTCTGCAAAACACAGAAGAGGCGAGACTTTAAAAACAGGATTCAGTAATTCCAGACAGACAACGTACTAAAATGTGAGTTATTTAAAGTTGCCACTCTTTGAGATGAAAACACAAGTAGATACTCAAAGTAGAAAATCGAAGTCAAAAAATAAATAAATAAAAAAACCAGACCTGAACACCAGATTTCTTTCAGTTTGCGATCCATGGATTTCTATCTGCAAGTCTGGCTGTATATAAAAAAAGAATTGGCAGAAATTTTGGAAAGTCTGATTGTCAGACTGCACAGGAAATAGACTAAAAATCAGCCGAAACCGAGTTGCTGCAGTAATCAGAACGCACAGAACGAGCTGTAGTGGCGCTAATCAGAGCCTTTCTGGCTGTTGCCCTAAAATCACCGCAGAGAGTGCGCGAGTAGCACACAGAGGTAAAGGCTTCCCACTTGGAATAGGCGTTATCAATGAAAATCCAACTCTCTGTTATATCTCAGATACTGCAAAGGAGATTACATAACGTTAGCCTCTGTGGGCAACGTGCAAGAAAAACCCCTTCCCTGCTCTTTGGCACAAATCTGCAAGATTTGGCTTTGAAAAAAACGACATGAAAAGAAACCCAATAAATGCTGGGAACACCTGCTTTGGTCAGATGAGACCAAGATAAATGCGTTCGGCTCAGACGGGGTTCAGCCTAAGAGGAGTGCCACAGTAAAGCACGGAGGAGGGAGCGTGATGACACGGGGGCACAAGAGAAAAAAACATGGCGGAGAGAACACATACACAGATAACAGAGACACAGATAAAACGGACACACGCCAAAACCACAGCTCACATATGGAAAAGGGGGGGATATAAAATAAAAAAAAAGAAAAAGGACACATGGCCCATAACACAAGAGTTTATATCAAAAAAAAAAATATAGGAAAAAAAAAAAACTGTCGGTGAACCGTGTATTTATTTTGTTCCAAAACTTCCTGGAGTTAGCAGAGCAAAGTAGGGATTAAGACAAGAGTATGGCCGTAGGGATATCAGGAAGTGAAGCTGGGCGACCTTTAATGTGACCTGAAGAGGTCACTGCAGATTAACACGACCCTATCACAGAGCAATGGGAGAAGGGTGAGGAAGAGGAGGGGAGGAATAACCTAGATAGGAGGATTGAGAGATGCATAGAGTAAAAGAGACTGAGTCAGGGAAGAAAATTGGAGAACGAGCAAGGGAACGATAGGGCAGAGAAGAAAAGTTAACAAGGAAGAGAGGAAGAGCAGATGTGGGTTTTGCACAGGAGAGAAAAAGGTGAGAGAAAACACAGAAATAAAAGAGAATGCGGTGAGTCAAAACATGAAAGGGAGAAAGCTCCACAGAGGGAAGGTCTGTCCAGTGTGGGAGAACGGACTTGGATGTGAAACTGTATTCCCCTCTCTCTCTCTTACTCTCTGTGTGTGCCTACATCTCTGCTCTTACTCCTTCAAGCCCTCCAGCTATCCCTTCCACGGCATGCAACCCCACACTCCACCACTCCTCCCTATATTTCCCTTCTTCCCTCACTCCATCCATCCCAGGAGGTGCTGTAGCATGAGTGGCAGGCGGGGGCAGAAGGAGGGATTTGGGGGCTCCTAGCCAAAAGGCAAACAGGTGCAGCCCCTCTGGAGTCTCTCAAATGGCACACATTAAAAAGAGTTGGGAGGGGACAGAGAAGGATGAAAACATCCCCCAGGATGAGCAGGCCACAGATTTCTGAAAATTTCTCGCCTTTCTGCTTTTCTGTGTCTTGCTTTAAAAAAAATAATAATAAAAAAAAGATTTTTCATCTGTTTCCTGTCCTGTCAGACCTTTCTAAAAGTTGTGCACCATTATTTCAGGACAGTTTCTGGTACTTCTGCTTCTTCTAGTCCAGGTCCAAGTCAAAGAAATGAATGCTGGAGCTCTAATACAGAATCAAGAGGAGTGGAGGGGCCAAGAGTGAACCCCTCCCCCAAAAAAGGAATAAAAATAAATAAATCACTCCTTTATGGATCCAACCACATCCATCTGTCTCTCTTACACACAAACATCTGGCAAATACAAATTCTCCACCTCCAGGTCTATTTATTGCTGTCTTCACATTGTCAGGGAAAACACATGTGCACTACACCCGCACCGTGACACACATAAACGCATGCATGCTCTCACAGTCAGGCACACCTGTTAATATTCCTTAGAATTCCCCTCCAAAGCGGGGGATTTTACTCGGAGCAAGCCAGCAATAGAGTGTACACAAGAATAGTTTGTCTAAGAGCAGTCGTGACTGTGACTGTGTGTGTGTGCGTGTGTGCGTGACAACCACCCACATGGCCGTGACATACCCAGCCTGACAGCCCCCCTCCCTTCCTCCCTCTTCTCTCCTCCCGGAAAGCCCCAATCCTTTCTTTAGTGGCACTGACGCAGAACTGGGGGTGAGCTCCCACTGCTTCCGGCAACACTTCCGCAGGACGGGGGAGGGCTCTCTGAAACAAAACATGAAGCCAAACACACCCCTGGCAGCCCACGTAGGAGCGCTCAAAGGAAGGGCGCCTGAGCGCTCGTGCTCGTACGTGCGCGCGCAAACATGCGTGTGTGCAGAGCTGAGGCAACCTTACTGTGTGTGGTCAACCTCCTTTCAGCCATGGAAAAAAGTCTCTCATAAAAGTCCCACTAAAAGCACCTCTATGAATATCACCTCCCACGCTTTCTGTCTAACAGTCAGCCAGCCAAGAAATATATCTGGGCTCCACATTTACACACACACACACACACACACACGCACACACACGCACGCATAAGGACATACCGATGAACTGATTGCACAATATAGACAATTACAATTATAATGACTACAAACACACGGACACTCTGCCAATCACTCACAATATGCAGTGAAGCCAGCACTAACTGAACCTGAACTGAAATTTCTCAGTGATTCAGACAGATCGCTGCATGTTCGATAGTTTGGCGGCAAACAGCAGTGCAGGTGTTCATTATGGTATTACAGGTCAGAGATAATAAGAGATGAACTAAGTTTGATGCAAGAGCATCCTTCAGAATCTACTATATATGGCAGGGGTGTCAAACTCAAATACACAGTGGGCCAAAATTCAAAACTGGAACAAAGTCGCGGGCTAACATTAATATTTATTGAAATATATTTATTCCTCCAGATATAAGAATGAATCTTTTCTTATGGCTCAAACACATTTAGCTAAAAAACTGAATATGAAACAAGTAAAGCTTAATATGAAACAATATATATATATTAGCTGTATAATACCAGTAGACCAGCTCTGATAGTAATTTGGTATGGCTTCGCGGGCCAAATGTAATTAGGCTGCGGGCCAAACTTGGTCCGCGGGCCAGAGTTTGACACCTATGATATATGCCTACATAACACAAACGCACTCACTTCCATTCATTGAAGGAATTATAAATATTTGGCATTAATCAATATCTTCTGGTTTAACTTAATGTGCACAAATCATTTCAAGGTTAAAATATAAAGTTTTTATTCTCAGAGATTTTTCAAAATAGAAAACACAACGAGTTTTTCTAGCCCTTCATACATGTTAAATTAAGTTAGCGCTGTTTATTAAACTAAGGATTAAATCAAACTTTTGTGATTGTAACACATTTTTAAATGAAGTAACTAGTTAGCTTCTTTCAAACTAAGCAAATTATATGAGAAGCGGATCTGAGACTAATAGTTTACATTTATTGAATCTCTTTGGTTAACCCTGCTAGGATTACATCATAAAAGCTGTAAGATGACTAGGGGAGTCCCGCATATTTAAGGCATTGGGGTAACTTGTATATCTAGGTTAAGTACGATTACGATCATTTACAGTCCAGTTTTTTTCAACAAATGATTGATATATAGAAAAATAATTTATTATTGCATTACATATTAATTTAAAGGTGGCCACAACTGCTTTAGCCAGTGAAACAACATGTTACCTTTGCATTACGTATTGTAATAAAGATGTATTAGCTTTAAAAACAAATTTTCGTGAGACGTTAAAAGCTTTAGTGTCTTTAGGTTTTATTTTTAACTATTTCGATCTTCTTTGTTCACTCGGTTTGCGACGTCATCCACTGGTTTCTGAAGTCCCATTTTAAAGCCTAACATGTAGCATTACCGTCATCGAGATATTAGTGTTTTGAAACCAGATGCCACCGCAGGTGATGGTTCTGTCTGTGAAACTGCACACTCGTGCACTATCAACTAGCCAATGACCATATCCTGGATAATTCCTCTTTTTGACCCCTAGAATGACCAAAATGTTTTTTTGTTTGTTTGTTTGTTTGTTTTAATTGAGTGCAACCAGAAATGAGTGACTGAGGTCATACACTCAGCAGGAAAGTATTTACTGGCGTGGCGTAGACTTCTATGCGTGGAAGTCTTGCAACCACAGCTTCGCCCCCCTAGTGGTGTTTACTAAAAATGCAGGTTCACGGCATTTCTGCATTATCTTTACTTTTCACACCAACACGCCCATCTGTAACACTCTCAACGGATTCATTGTAAGTGATTATCCTAATTCTATGAATGCTAACGCAATATCCATGGCAAAATTTGAAAGGCATGAATAGCACCAACTGCCACTTAAGCCCACTTGCAATCCTTTCGGCCAATACTGTGTAGGCTTCAAGTTTGGATCCACAGCCTGAATCCTTTTCTGCAAACACTGGGACTACAATTTTACTACCTGGTAACATTTACATATGGCTTGCAACATGGAACAAGTCTGAACTGCATGCATTATGTAGTTTCGCTGATGGGTAGGCACACGCACAAAGCCACCGATACAACAACCAGAGACAAGTCTAGAAGACCTGCACTGTTTAGTTTCTTTTTTCCTTTACTACATATAGAGAAAATTTAATGAAAGAGGCTTTCCATATTCAGGACCAAAAGGAATATAAGGACAGGGTTCACAGAGAGACAAATATGAGAGGAATGGGCAATGTGAATTGCACTGGAGAAGAAGAAGATGGGCAC